ATTTGGGCGTAATTGCATTTATAAACAAACACGTAAATCACCAATTTTTTCGCGAAATTAAGCTCTATCTCGAAAATTAACAGCACAAACAGGTAGAGGATAGATTTCTCTATCATTTGGTATAGTTTGTTCTGAGATTGAGCGTTTTTGCGAGAAATCGGTGATTGACGAGTTTGTTTACAAAAGCAATTACGCCCAAATCTCAAAGTTCTCCGGATTTGTATGTTAAGTGGAAGCAGACATTTGTGCTCTTGAAAGTTCACGCTAAGGCTTCCTTACATGGCATCCTTTGAAGATCGTTTTCATTCCGTAATAGTGACGAAAGCTGTTTTGTCAATATCGTCGTGTACGGTCAAAATTTTGCAGCACCGTCTCCAATTATCGAAAAATTGGTACACACTGGACCTTAAATTACCCTTTTTCTTCTCCGCATTTTAAGCTTATTGCTGTGTGCTCTCAAATTAGTGTTCTAAATGCACTTCCACAGTTATTAATTGAGAGCTTTGTAATTTTTGCATTATTATAATTGTGTGGCAAGTACAATCCTACTCACTCTATTGCCCAGTGAAGTCGAGAAATTTTCCAATCAGAAAAATTCCTAGACCGATTCGGGAATCGAACTCCAGCCACCTCAAAAATGGTCTTGCTTTGTAGCATCGCCTTTACCGACTGAGCTAAAGGAGGCTGAAATTACCCATACATGTTTGTGTCTTTCAATGGAATATTTTATAGATTAGGGAAGATGCATAAATGTTAAACGTTTGTGTACGTTCCATGAAGCAACAAGTTTGGACCCCCTCCTCCTTGTAGCGTATTTTTCTACATGGATAGTCACCCTAAAATGCAACGTCATTTATGCATCTTCCCTTACTAGGATTATCGCATTATCGAGTCGTCTGACTATCGAGTGTCAGTTTAGTCGGAGGATACTGTGTTAAGCATTTCGTTGGGGTGTTGCATTTTGAAATAATTCAAATTTCCATAAGACCAGAAGATCGCAGTAGGCCGCGCTTGAAAGCTGACGTGTTTTTCTTTTGCTGCGTAGTTTTTGCTTTAAATTTGTTAAATTATGTGCTGAAATTTCGTTTCAAGTGTTCATAAAGTTATCATTTAGTGATATATCGTGTTTTGCTTGTGTTTGTCTTGAGTGATTCTGCTAACCTTGAATCTAACTTCCAAAATCTATGACGTTAATTCAGTTTCATTGCCTCCCGGGAGCCCGGTTTTCCGAGCTTGGATGCCACACTTTCGGCGTGTAGTTCTATTGCGAGATTTGTCACCGTGGACGGGTGAGTTTTAACCCGGTCCGGTTGGTGAATTAGCCAGGGAACGTGCTGATAATGTATCCGTCGTCAGTTTTGGTGGTGATTCGGTTGCCGACGTTGACGTGAACCAGCAAGTTTTTCGCTTGCCAAAGTGCTCGACTGCTGGTCTCTCGCAAGTGTCGGAGATTGCGAATAATCTGAATGATGCCACGCTGGATACGAAACTTGGGGCAAGACAGCTTTTGATCATGAGTAAAATCGGAGTTAATTTTGAGTAACTCTGAGTAACTCGCGTTGCTCAACATAAAATACACATAGCAACCGATACTGTCAAGCAAAGCAAAGCAACAACATTTTAAACGGTGCGCTTGCAATGCTTTACTGGGAACATCTTTCAGCAATTAAAAGGCAATTGCACGTGTATGAAAGGAACTACAAGCTGTCCCCTCAAAATCGATGGATGATTTCTATGGTGACCTTACGGAACAGTCAGAGCTGTCGTGCTTTACTGCCATGCCGATGACGTTTTATTAGGGGGATTTTGTACAATCTCTAGGAGAGTTCCAGTCAATCGCAAAGGGGATTTATGACAGTCTCAGTAGAGATTCCTAACAAGCCTTGGGGGAATTTCAGACAATTCCAGTTCGGTTTCCCAACAATATCAAAGGTAACTTCGGAAAATCCAAAGAAGGAATATGAACTATCCTAGGGAGGATTCCGGACAATCACAGGAAGAATTGCACTCAATATTGACGGGGATTCATGACTGTCCAGGGGGGATTCCATATAATCCAGTCAATCCAAAGGTAAATTCTGGACAATCCCAGTATTAAAAAATGGTATGTGATGGTTCCTACATCCATTCGACGATCGCTCATTGACAAACTTCATATATGTTTCAGAATAGAATCAACTATTAAGTTGGCCAGAACTAACCTATTTGGACCTGGGATGAACAATTAAATAAAAGACTGCATTCAACAATGCTCCTTTTGTGTCGATCAACACAACAACACAAGACGATGAAAATTCAACCTATTCCTGTTCAACCTTTTTCAACTCGTGTCTATTGATGTCTTTTTGCAGGAGTATCAGGGAAAACAACGAACGCTTCTGGAGAGAGTTGACCCTAACTCTGACATTTTCTAGCTAAATATTCTCAGAGATTTAAACCCCTCTTTCTTAATGAATGCTGGTAAATAAAATGTTGCTTATCACGAAAGAGTTTCCTCATTTCAGGCATGTAGTGCAACAAAATATGAAACCTCTTTGACCGATTTTGTGAGATTGAGTTTTAATTTTCATGAGTTAAATTAATCTTCTGAAAACATTTGGCCAAATTCTTACTTCCTTAGTCTTGAAATCACACCATCTAGTGTTTCCTTCCCGGGCAGTTTACCAGAATTATTCCCGAGAAGCAGTTTTTTGTACGAAAAGCATGTTAAACATATATTATATTAAAAATGGCCACACAACTTTCGAGGAAAATTGATAGAAATTTCCGGAGAAAGTTTGACGAATCTTTAGTGCGAAGTCAGAAACTCCCGGGCAAAGTTAGAAGAGACTTCCATGCAAATTTAGGCAGCCGGATGAAACTTTCAGAATAATTCAGTAAAAAAAAATCCGTGGGATGTCCGGATGAAATGGGAAATAGTTTCCACTTCCAGCGGTAGGACTTCTGATTGTAATCTAGGACTTCTGATTATAATCTGATACTGTTGGAATGAAAAGATGATGAAACTTCCGTTGAACAATGGACGAAGGTGGAAGATTCTTCCAGGGCAAGTTTAAAAAAAAACTTCCAGGAGATGTTGGAAGAAACTTTCGTGCAAAGTCAGACGAAACCTCCTAGAGAAATCATAAGAATCCTTCAGAAGAAGCTTGTCGAAATCTTCAAGGGGAAGTTGGAAGAAACATCCAGAAATTGTCGGAAAAATCTTCCTGGAGAAATCCTGACGAAGTTCAAGTTTTAATAAATAACTACCAAAAATATTTCCCGATTTCCGGGAAGAGTCTTCAGCTATTTTAAGATTCCCGGGTAATTATAAATGGCTGGGATATGGAAACACTAACACTACCACATCACCAAAAACTTCAAAGACATTACACTTTAGCCATCCATCCTAGAAAGCAAAAGAGACCTAAACATCCCTTGGCTTGGGCAAGAGCCATCTAACTTGGATCTTTTAATGAATGAAAACTAAATCTTGAAATCAAAACATTCTGTCAGACGGGGATTGTTTGAACATTATTTTATGAAAAATATTAGGCTACTTTGTTTGTTTTTGAGTAAATATTGAGTAACTCAAATTTACTCACTGCAAATATATTAACTCTGAGTACAGTTGTCTTACCCCTAGATACGAAAGCACTAGACGCGAACCTCCTCCCAGATGACCATGTGAAAATTGTGTTTTTTGAAGGAAGTACTACGCCAAAGGTGAATCACGAAATGAGATGCAAACCGATCACGAAATGAAAAACAAATCTACGGAACCCATGGATTGGAGGATCAAATTAACATGGTCAGACCAGTCCAAATACTTTTTACAATTAAAAAAAATTAAATTAAATTAAATTAAATACGTGCCAGGATTTAAGAGAACATTTTGAAACTGGAAGTGTGTGCATAATACTAATATCCAATTGATAGAGGTAATACATACATGCGGGGCTTATTGTAAGTGAAAGTAACCTAGGAATGGGCGTGACTCTCCAGACATTCTGAAATGGGTTGCTGGATCTGAAATAGAGCTATCACCTTCTAACTCCCGGACTAAAGCTGTCTATAATGACAATAAATGCGACATTGTAGAGAGAGTTCTTCCATAATAAGACCGCCGGCCAGTGGGGGTTAGATAGACTACACACATACATACACACAAATCAAATTTCCATAAGATCATAGAACACAACACTTATTGGAGTATGTATAAAGTTTAAATTTGTTAATTAGAGTGCATGAACTATTTGTAGACGCCCCCTACCTTTCTATTTACATTGCAAACCAATCATCACATTCTATACCAATTAACCAAACAAACAGAGCATAACCCGCGTCAGAATGTCGAAACGCCCGTAGCCCCATTTCTCACACGTATTAGAAGCACACTTTCCCATTCTAAATAGGTGCTATTAACAGCTCATAAAACAATCACTTCACTTCATCTTTCACCGCCGCCACAACCCCTTCCATCGTTTTCGTATATTTTTTTCTCTGACGTCCATTTATTGACAGACGTGCTGGACACGACGGACGCACGTGTACCTCTTTGTGCATGGGCTATTATGCATTACCAAGTGCTGCCATTATTGGTAGTCCTAAACAGGTGCCCGGGATCTTCGGTAGCAGAGCTCTGCTATCAGCAGTCCGTTTGTTGTTGTTGAAAAAAAAATCTGCACCTATTTGCAAGCAATTACAGCCGTACTCAAACAAACCCGTTCGTCGAATCCAAAAATAGAAGATACAAAAAATTTGAATTCGAATCCAATTCCACCAGCTCCAGCTGTTTGATCTAATAAAAGCGTAAATTTAACTTCGCTTCCTCTATCTCTTACTCAGCGGTTTCATCACTTGATCTTCTCCAGCATCGAACGTCATTACTTAATTATTAACTAATTTGGATCTTTCTGTTTTCTTTCCATTGTTTTCCCGCAGGCGTTGTTTCGGCGGACAGACGGCCCGGATTTGACGAGTGTTGCCCATATGCGTGCATGTGTGTTTGTGTTCCTTTCCAAGTGTTGTTAGTGGAAGTTTTTGACCCCCAAACATCCATCGATCGGTACTAGTGCGAACGAATTTGTTCGGAATCGGAATCGGAATCGGTGCACTGTTGTATGGCAAATTTCCTCACGCGCGGAGAGGGTTGAACAACAGTTGTTCAATTTTACCCGGAAAGAGTGTGCTTTATCGAATTTCAATTCGGGTGGTGAGTGTGGATACAAGTGGAAGATAGCGGGAACTAACGTCGGGGTGGTCGATCGTCGGCAGAAAAGCAGGAAGAGGCTGGCCAGTGGATATGGATATGAGGCTGGAACATTTGGCCGGATTGTTTTAGATAGGATTGACCGGCAGTGGGTGTGCGCACATGTGGGAAGGTGGACAAGAAGAAGAAGAAGAGGTGATGACTATCGAACTGACGGATGCTGCATTTTTCTCATCGATAACGGTAAGTTTCCGGTTGGAGTTTGATGGGAAAGGGAAATTCTTCATTATGATTGGCTGCAGATTTCGACCATTAAGCTTGTGCAATAGAAGCAGAATGGGAAATTGCAGTGCCTACCATAATATGTGGTAATACACTCAATTCTGTTTTTACGCAATTTTTTTTTCGGCTCTGTATGTGATCGTGTGATCTGAATTTGCAACCAAATTTATTGCAACTTGTTTGAAAATATCACAAAACTAAATCAAAGAAAAATCAGGTGGTATTAAAAATTATGTACCTAGCTCAAAATTCAGGCTACTTTGATCACGCTTCTGATGACATCGATTGTGGAGCTCAGCATTCGAGACCCAGTCCTGAAGCCTCCATGAACGAACCACCGGGGATAGACAAAATGATCAGGCATGATTTTGCCAAAATTCAAATTGGCATTAAATTTTTGAAAACTTAACCAATTTTAAAGAAACCAGGATGCATTCGACGGCAAATTTATAGCAGTTTTTATAAATCATTTGATGCCGCTGGCCATAACTCAAAAACTGATTTTTTTCCATGGATTGTATTTTTTTCTGGTATGAATTCATTCCTTGAAGTAGGTTTGGTACATGACCGGAACCATCCCAAGTAACAAATCTAGAGCTGCTTGGCTATATTCAAAATTTATAAAGGTTTTATTGCAGCTGCAACCATTACCTACAGCTTTATGACGGTCATATACAATGCAAGTCATGAAACATTCTTATATCTATCTACAAAACCCCTATAAAGCTAATTAAAAAACCAACTGATGCTTATGCTATTTTCACTTATGAAAGGTTTTATGATTGCTTTGAAGTATACAAAAAAGTAATATGAATTGCCCTTATAAAACCAAAAAATAAATCCTTTCGTTGCTTTATAAGTAAGCGCAATAAAACTAGTTGGCCATGAAACAGTTATTTTAAAACAATTATAAGCATTCAGTTGCAACTTGTCAGAAATGTAAATAGGTGGTTTATTTTTACAACATAGAAAAGAATAAAAACTTTCCGGTACTTCCAAGCGGAGCGCAAAGAGAATCAACAAAATTGTTAGCATGAGCATGAAAACATTTCGTGTATACGTATACGCGACGTAGTGTGCGTAAGAAAAACGTCAGCAATCTCCATGATTCTTCCGTTCTCGCTCGCATATACATGGGGTGACACGGTCGAATCTTGGTCGAAATACATGGAATGGTGACAGTCCTAGGTTGAAATCACGCATAACTTTTCATAAAGGTTAATGTACCATTCAAAACTTTTCTAAATGTTTTTAAAATTCATCGGTTGCACTCGTAGAATAGGAATATACATTTGCCCTCAAATAAAAAAAATAATTCAAGCTGAAAATTGCATAAGGTCCTAAGTAATATTGACAGATTCGCTTCGTCAACTTTCTCTTTGCATCCCCACGGTCATGTAAAGACATTCCCAGGTATTTTCAGCACATAAATCGATAAAAGAAGCTTTTATCTAGCATCCAATACGACAAACACATCAAGAAACGGTTCTGTGAATAAGTTATTAACGAAAGAGAAAGTCGACGAAGAGAATCGATCAATGTTACTTAGGACCTAATGCAAAGTTCAGCTTGAATTGCTCTTGTAAAAAAAATAGTTCTCGTAATAAAATCATGCATTATCCTTTTCTGTTCTGCTTTCATCCCATGCACACTGGGCCAGGAATGCAACCTAGCGGAGCAAAATTAATAACTCCGAAACGAAGCAATTTTTTTTCTGTTATTTCACATAACTCAAAAACAGTAGGCTGTGAAGTTTTAACGTATTAAGAAAAGTTGTTTATTTTATCAAGATAACCAACTTTGACAAAGTCGTGAAGTCTTCGAAACACAAATTCAATGCATTAAAAAAAGTTATAGAAAAAAAAAAACATGTTCCACTAAAATGAAGAAATCTACAAAACACCAAAATATACCTCTCTCAAATTTTGATATTTTGTTTATCGAGTATTGCTTAATTTTTGCTGAAAATGTCAAAATTGTGTTTTTTTTTTCTCGTTTTTTCAACAATGTCTTTGAAATTTGAAGCTTAATCCAGTATGTTTCTTCACAAAAGCTATTTATTTAATGTATTTTCATAAGAGAAAAATATAACATTATAAAGCTGTAAGCAAAAAAACAGCAACAGAAAAAAACCATATTTTCAAGATTTTTTTCTTTAACTCCATATAACTTGGAACCAGTAGACTGTGGAAATTTTACGTCTTTGAAAGACCTGTTTATTTTGTCAAGATAAACAACTTTGCCCAAGACATCAAGTTTCCAAAACGTCAGAGAAAGAAGTTAGATTGTGACACCATCTTTGCGGAAGAGTTTTGAACTATTTGTTTATGTCAATAGATGGTCCTTATTATGATGAGAAATTTTGCCGAAGACACCAAGTCGCGGAAATGCTTCGTTTCGGAGTTATTAATTTTGCTCCGCTAGGTTGCATTCCTGACCCAGTGTGCAATGTAAGCATTAGACATTTTAAGAAATTGCGCTTGGTGTTTTTCTTGCCTGCTGTCTTCTGTCGCCATATTGTCATTATGAAAATGCCATTAGCCTTGGAATAAAATCCAAGAAATTTCAATAAAATAATGGCTAAATAAGAGATCCGAAATGATTTCCAGTGTGCATTGGTATGAATTTATGTATTGAGATCTATTTTCTGTAAAATTAAGGTGATTCCAACAAATTCATTTAATTTCTGAAACAATCTTTTTTGTTAACTTGAATTATTTTGGAGGCGCATTTATTTAACGCTCATATTATCTCAATATACACGAAAACATTTCAAGCGCATATGTTTTGGAACTTCTAAAAAGTAATATATTTTCTTTAAGATTTTCACTAATGTCGCCATGAAACAAAATTGATTGCATGGTGATCTTGACACCAACACTCAAACCTATTTTAACCGCTAAAGATTTCCATTTGGTTTCAGCAGAACAGAACAACAACAAGCTAATTTATGGCGGTTGCTTTGAAGCCAATACAAATTAAATTGGCTTTATAACTGATTTTCACCAAAGCGTAATAAAACTGCTTGGATACAATATTACTCTTATAGAGGCTATGAGAACCTTTTGTAGAGTATGAGGCTTCCTGACAAAAGGTTTTAAGACAGCTTTATTGTGATTCTCAAACATGCTTTATAAACCTTATCAAGAGTGGTCCACTAAGCTGTATGACGATCTTATAGCGGTTATCAAAAGGTTGTGCTGGAGCTATTAATTTTATTGGTGGTTTTATGAAATTGATCTCAATAACCACTAATAGAGTGCAATAAAACAAGAAATGCTACTTGGGATAACAATATGGATGTCAACCTAAAGGGTGATACGGTCAAAATTTGGTCAAGGGAAAACGCGTGTAAATCGGTGAAATCGTTTATTTAAAAAATCAAATTAAATTTCTTTTTCAAGTTCAATTAGTATAAAATTCAGGAAAAATATTCAGTTAGGCTTCCGCTTTTCCAAATCCGAATTGCCGGGCCTTACGCTTGACCCCTGCCATCAGATTTTGTACAGCCACCTTGTCCACCTTCTTCGCCGCAGAAAGCCAGTTTTCCTTGAACTGCTGCTCGCCCTTAGCAGTTTTTTTGGTCTTCTTTAGGTTCCGCTTTACAATAGCCCAGTATTTCTCAATTGGGCGGAGCTCTGGCGTGTTGGGAGGGTTCTTGTCCTTGGGAACCACCTGCACGTTGTTGGCGGCGTACTACTCCATGGCCTTTTTACCGTAATGGCAAGATGCCAAATCCGGCCAAAACAGTACGGAACAACCGTGTTTCTTCAGGAAAGGCAGCAGACGTTTATTCAAACACTCTTTCACGTAAATTTCTTGGTTGACAGTCCCGGAAGCTATGAAAATGCTGCTTTTCAAGCCACAGGTACAGATGGCTTGCCAAACCAGATATTTCTTTGCGAACTTTGACAGTTTCATGTGCTTGAAAACATCTGCTACCTTTCCCCTTCCTTTTGCCGTATAAAACTCCTGTCCCGGAAGCTGCTTGTAGTCGGCTTTGACGTAGGTTTCGTCGTCCATTACCACGCAGTCAAACTTCGTCAGCATCGTCGTGTACAGCCTCCGGGATCGCGCTTTGGCCGTCGTATTTTGTTTATCATCGCGATTCGGAGTCACTACCTTCTTGTAAGTCGATAGTCCGGCTCGTTTTTTGGCTCGATGCACGGTTGTAGACGATACACCCAGCTTATTTGCGGCATCTCGGAGAGAGAGGTTAGGGTTTCGCTTGAAACTACCGGCAACTCTCTTTGTCGTCTCAGCGGCTTCCGGTTTTCGATTTCCCCCCGATCCAGACTTCCTGGCTGTCGACAAACGTTCCCCAAACACTTTAATTACATTTGTAACGGTTGATTTGGCAACTTTTAGCGATTTTGCCAACTTTGCGTGCGAGTAGCTCGGATTTTCGCGATGCGCGAGCAAAATTTTGATACGCTGCTCTTCTTGCTTGGACGGCATTTTGACAACTGAAGAGTGAATTCCAAAATCAAAATAGGAGCAACATTCTACACACACACACCTTCAAAATGAGGGGTGTTCAGGTTTTTTAAATGCAAAATTGAAAGAAATACGTCAAGTTGATATTGACCAAATTTTGACCGTATTTTTTCATGTACACCACTTTCCATAGTTACCATGGAGCAGGTATCAGTGCCGTTATTCAAGAAGAAGGCTACTTCAACGACATAACCTTCTAGTTGCGCTAGGTGAAACAGGAAACCTTCAGCAGCGTACAGCTCATCTCTAGACAGCGGTCCATTTTCAGCGGGCTTGTTTGTACTCCTGCGACGGCAGTTTCCGGAGAAACGGTGAACGTAAGCAACCACATTGATGAGCTTCTTCCAGCTAGAGAACTTCGGGACGGTGATCACGGCATCGGACAAGGAATGATGTGCCATGAAGGAGGTCCGCAACTCGTTGTCTGTACGCTCTGACTTCGACGAGACTTTCTGCTACGGTAG